GAGTGCAGGTCATTCACAAGAATTATCCAAGGTATTTGCTTAAAGTGCACAACTTGTTCCCCATCCCAGACCTACAGAATCTGATACTCGATGAGCAGACAATTTAATTAAACAAGCTTCCAGGTGATTACAAAGCATACATCTGACAACCAGCGTTTAAGACCCAGTTCAAATGCCCCCTCCTGTATGATGCCTCCACTGATTTAACTGATAAACAAGGGTTCCCTCTTCACATCTGCCAAAACCCCATCTCAAGAATGGCACTCAAGTGTCCATGCTCTAATTACATAGTCCTACCTTCCCTACTACACTTAGAGTTTTACGGGGAGAAATCACATCTTCTAGATTTTTGTGCCTTCCTCTTTGTCTAGCCTTAAAGTGCCTTACATACAAAGGATGCTAAGTAGAGGAATGGCATGTCTGCTTGTATGTAACACAATGCTGGTACACTCTTGGTCCCCACCATCTAAAAGTTTACCAACTTAGATCAGTGACACTGAGTGGTATAAATGTGGCTGTAGAGACTGGCTACCAAAGAGAGCAACAACTAGAAACAGATTTACACATGTAAGGAGGCAAAGGAGCATTAGGCATGCCAACTGGGCATCTGAGCAAAGATAAAGTACGTAGCCACTTACGAACAGGAACCTAACGTATTGCGGGATGCACACTGTAAATAAATACCCCTATCAATCATACGCCACCCTGAGTGTAACCAGCACGAGGGCTCAGCACATCTCCAATCCTGTCCTCCCATTCTGCTTGCAGTACCTCTACACAAATACCACATGGTACTGTAACCATTTATTCTATGCCTGGGTGTGCTGTGCTGTATATTTTCATAGGCAGGAGGAACACTCGTTTGCTTTTCTATAGCCTTAGAGGGAACTGAAAAAGTATTTGACCAACAAATGAACAACAACAACAAAAGGATTGGTTAAAACTGGTACCTGTTCATGTATATATTCACAAGTTTTTCCCAAAGGAGTCCATTTTTAAATTTTAGAGAAGAGGTAAGGAAAGCGATTCCATTTTTAAAAAGTTATTTTCCATTATAGAGCATATTCTCCCCCTGGCCTACGTACAATCTTCTAAATTTCACATTTCTCAGTAAATGGCAAATTCCTTCCTGGCATGACGGTGACACACGGTCACCCCTGGGGCCAGTTTGAGATGTTCAGCTCCACATACTACCTGGAAAGTGTTTAGCAGCCTGAGTCAGCCCAGCAGGGAATAGCTGTGTAGTGTTTGGGCACATGACTCAGTACTGTCTCAAAACATCTCCTCAAGGAAAAAACAATCACATCGTGACAGCAGTCACCACCCGCCTCACAATGACCAAATCTAACAGCTCTGAAAGCAATGATGAAGACACTGTGACTTAAACAAGAAGAATTAAAGTACAGTTCTACAAGCTACCTGGAAGAGCCTGATCTTATTCTGTGCACTGTGCCGTAGTCAGCTTAAATGTGCAATGAAGTGTTTTCATTGTTCAAATTGGCAATCGAATCTCATGCTTTTAATTACACGCACTTTACCACAGGAGATAACATACACGGTGGCACTGCCCTTCTTTAGTGGTAACAAATAACCACAGAACAAACAAGAATTTTGTTTGCTGTTGTGTGTTTCATTTGATTGCAGTTCTTCATTTCTATGTTAGAATAATTTACTTGAAATGGACTTGAAATGGACTTCTAGCCACTTCAAAATCATGCAACTTACTAGTCAGGCGGCACAGCATAATAGTTAACTTGTCAGGAAGACTTGAGCAAGTCGCACTGGCACTATGTAGCTATTTGATCCTGACCACCTTTCTGAGGCTCTGTGAAACAGGGATAATGACAGCTCTACCTCAGAGCCTGGTTATCAAGGTCAAGTAAAAAGAAACATGTAGAACATTTAGTAAGGGCTCAACTGATGGCTGCTAGTATCACTGCTCCATCAGCTGCTTCGGTTTCCAGTTATTTCATCACTTACCTGCACCTCTATACAAACTTTAAAGAAAGGGAATATAAAACCATCAACTTTATAGTTTCTTGGAAGTTGTTAAAAAAAAAAAGGCAGAGGACGGGAGGGAAGGGAAGAAAATGTAGAACTAGAGAGATGAAGTGCGTATAGTCAGTCTTTCTCTATGCCGTACAAACTCAAAAATAAGAATATAAGCTGTACTTACAACACTGTCTGTGCTTAGTGACTGCCAGGCACATGGTTTAAAAATTTAACTATTAATATGTACGTATGTCAAAACACATTCAAGTCTGAGAACACAGAGCAGAACTTGGTCGTAATAACTCCAAGTTCAAAGAGCAACGCCTACACAGAATTTCTGTATTCTCTCTCTTACAAGATACTTAAATTATATGTGTACAATTTCCCAACAACTTAGAGCACATCCTACCACCACTGTGAATCTCTCAAACATGTTTGCATCTCAGGCGTCTTCTTCTTTACTGTGCCATTTCCTTCAAGAATACCTGGAATGCTGATATAATTGTAGAACAGCAGTCTGATTAATGTGTAATAGTGACTTGGAAACCTGTTTCAGGTAACTATATTCAACCAACTACTGTGCGACTAAGCCTTATAGAAACCCATCAAGGATATTGGAAAATGTACAAGGAAGCACAAGGCCAAGTGACATGTAAGCTGATCACTCCCTGATTTGCTTTCTCAGTTCTGGCCCCCGACACGGAGCACCTGGGAGGAGGACACCTAGGATTCCTTCAAATCTAAAAAACAAAACAAAAACACCGCAGATGCATCTGAAGTGAGCTCCTACTCAAGAAGAGATTAAATCTTATAATTGTTCCCAGGATTTTGTGTTTTCTGTTAAGATGCCTATACATCAATTACTTGATTTTTCTGTTTCGTAGTACTCTTAATTTTCCTTTTCCCTCTAAAAGCAACCACTCAATTGAGAAACATGGATACTGAGATTAGTAAGATCAAAGGTAATCTAGTTCCAACTGGTTAGAAATCATTTCTATGATATGCAGGACAGCCTCCATTTAAATATTTCCTATTAAGGGGACTCTCCATTGATAAATTTTCATTATTTTTAATTGGCAATTAATTTTTTACTGAATGTTTACCAGGTGCCAAACCTATGCTAAGCACAATAATGTGTCACCTCAATTAATCCTCATAAGGAAACTCTGTGAAGGGGGTGTCCTTGTGCCCATTTTAACTGTGATAACAACAAGACTCAAGAGGTTAAGCAACTTGCTGGAAGACACACAGCTGTCAACGGGCAGAAATCCTGGTGTTTCACACACCCAAGCCCAGGCCTCACAACTTTGACTCACAGGCCCTAATTTGCGACCTCTGTGCTCCCTTTCCTCTAATAAAGATCTACAAATATTTGAAAGCTATCCAAGCAGCACTTGGCAGCGTGCTGGGCTTTCCCCTAAGCCTTCGTTGGCAGCATGGAGAGGAATCTGTGAGCTGGCGGAGTCCGGGCCCTGCAGACGGAGGTTACCTACCAATAACACAGGAGGGCCAGGTCTCCGCTCTCCCAGCCCAAGTAACACAAAGTCCTGTGCTTCACTGCACGTCAGCTCTTCCATCTCACTCCACTCTCACTCTCTAACCCCATGCCCTTACCCATGGCCCATCCACATTTCTTAGCTACCCAGAGGGACTGCTCTTCTCCAATCAGCTGTGACCAGCCCTGAACCATCGCCATAGCCCTCCAAGGCCACGGAGCCTGTCCTACAGGCGCTGAGCTGGGGTTGGAAGGAGGGGGAGAAGTGCCATTGGCAATTTGCATCACTTCTGCTCCACTTACTGCTATGCAAGGAGCCTGATCTGCTCAAATGCCCAATCTCAACCAGTTTCCCATGGAGGATTTCTATTCTGAAAAACTGTTTTTTAGATTACATTCAGATAGGGACTTTTTTTGGTATTTTCTTTATGTGTAATATAAAGACACTTCTAAAGCATTTTAATTATCGGTGTTGAAAGATGATTTATCACTCTGAAACATGCTCATATTTTTGATGTCCAGGTATCCAGGTATTGTTTCATCTTATAAAAATCCATATCTCTATCTATTTTTAGATGACTTCAAACCTGCCCCTATTGACACTTCTTATGAAGAAAAGCTTGTAGTTGGAAAAGGTAACAGGTGACCATAACTCTGCCGAATATAAAAGTATGTGTATATATTTAGACTAAAGAAGTCTTTCTGCACAATTTCTACTAAATTAATTAATTTGTTTGTTTGTCTATTATTTTTTCACCTTTGTTGACTTAGGGGTTGGGGTTTTTTATTTTTTACTCTTTTTTAAAATTTAATTATAGTTGACTTTTTAAAAAACCCACAGCTCTGAAATTACACTTAGAAATAATCATTTTTATTAAGCAATGGTCCTGCAGAGAGGCGCTGGAAAGATCTTTTTCAAGTACCTACAGATATAGGTAGAATTTAAGCAGAGGCCTCGTCTTCCGACTTCTCCTCTATCAGGCGGGACCGCCAACACTGCGGGCGGCAAACAACTAAACTTTAGAGGCCTGAGTATTTTTATATTGAGTTTTATTGTATTGATGAAATATCTGCTGACTTTGGGGCACTATTCTAAACGCAGTAAGAACAAGAAAGGATTATGCATTGGCTTTGTCCTTAAATACTTTGGAAGGCAAGGGCACTCATGTGACATGCATCAAATGCCAGTGGGGGGATTAAAAAGCAGCATATCAATGAATACAAAATCACGAAGCACAAATCCAACAACCAGTACTGACAAGAAAGATCTCCAAAAACAAGAACTGCTATAAAATTAGACGCGAGAGATTAAGTTCTTCCAGAGTTCAGTGTCAGGGATAAGTCCGGAGGGCAATATGAGGAGGGGAAGATGGTGAGGCTACTCCTACAGGAAGATATAAACGCATAGGTAAGGGAGGTTAAAAGAGAAGCTACTATTTAAAGAAGACCCAGAGCCCTTTAAACTGAATACGTAGCAAAGAGCTTGTAAATAAGATGGTGGATTCTTTTCTACCTGAATTTACCAGTTGTTGTTCCATCACTCCACAGCCAAGAACTTCCAGCCATTCTCCACGGAAGTTGATCTCCATCTCAAAGGACGGGTGAGTAAAAGGAAAGTAGCAGTCTACCCATCTAATGTCCAGCCCTGCAAAGATGCCAAGTAAAAACAGTGTTAAAAGGCAGTCTACCCTTTCTCGTGATCAAATTTGTCCTTCAGTTAATGACACCAACTACTACATTCTGAGTAAAATAAATAGCAAACAAATTAATTTGCAACATCGTAGGAGGAGGCAATAAATCTTAAAACTTGTAAAAAACTGGGTATGTCGTTTCCAATATGAAAAACACTTTGTTCAGTTCCAGGACCCTCTGAAACCAAATCAATCACCTGTCATACCCCTGCAACTACCTGGCAGAGAAAAAATTTGGTCAAGATCATGGGAAAGCAGGTACTTCTGCTAGTTTCTGTAAGTGAAAATGGCCTCTTATCAGTTAAAGAAAAAATATTTTTACTACATTGTCCTTCAAACTTATATATCAACAATATGACCAATTTAGTATAAACTAATCAATTTTTACTTCCATAAGTAGGTATTAATTTTTAAATTGAGGTTATAGCAGCTAATAAAAAGATAAATAAGACCAGCTAAATTGAAGCAAATCATTTAAAAAGTCAAAACATTTTTTCTACAGATGATTGATAAATATACTTATATCTAAATAAACAAAGTACATACTAAATGACAGAAATAATCTTTCAATAAGCAATCATAAATATGGTACTTATAAACAATGACATTATTATTAAGAAAGGAAAAGACTAATGAATTCCCAACAGTTCAAGCCTGCAAACAGCAGAGGTTACTAAAAGCAGAGAAACCAGGTGAGAAGGTCACCTAGTGCAGTAGTGGCTAGATGCTCCCTGTAAGAGACATACAAAAAAGGGGCCACTGGGCAAATCACCCATGGTCTCCACCATATGTTCCCTTCACTTCGTGTAATGACCTTTCTCTTCTTCTTTCAGGCAGCAGTCCTGATTTTGTTTCTCCATGGTAACATGCCCCTCTATGAATTTCAAATTATCTTTTTCTTGTCTAAGACTATTTGCATTTTAAACCTAGTGGAAATCAGACTGTGAAAAACATAATAATAATAACAAAAATTGCTTCCATTTATTGAGCCCTTACTATGCCTCTATCATTCCATTTCACAGATAGTGGAAAAGCTTTAGAAAGGTCTACTGTCTTGCCCAAAGGCACACAGACAGCACATGACTAAGCTAAACCCAGGTCTGTCCAATTCCAAAACTCCTACTCTTGACAAAACATAATTCGCTGCCCATCAAAAAAGAAATTTCAAGAATCAAAAGTCAGATGGGAACGGAATTATGAGACACAGGACCCTTCCCATGCCCCAAATGACACAGAAGGTAGATTTTTGTTTCATTGTTCTGCTTTATTTTGCATTTATGTTCCTAGTTCCCTGTTGTCTGTGGCAAGTGAATAACTAGTTCTCTGTTTACAACAGTAACCAGTAATTGTAACCAGTTACTGTTAAAACAGTAACAATATTCTCCTTTTTATTATACATGTGGTATAAGACACAAATATTAAATTGCATATACAGTATACAATTTGATAAATGGTGACATGTGGATGCATCCACGAAACTGTCACCACAATAAATACAAGGAACATATCCATCACTCCCCAAAGTTGCCTCATTCCCTTTTGTGATCTTGCCTATCAGCCCATCACCCCTACCTCTCTCTTCTCCTCACCCTCATTATCCCCAGGCAACCACTGATCCCCTTTCTGTCACTATAGATGAGTTTGCATTTCCTAGAATTTTCTAAAAATGAAATCATACAGAAAGTGCTTTTTTTTTCTATCTTGCTTCTTTCACTCAGCATAATTATTGTAAGATTCACCCATGTTGTTGCACACATCAATAGTTATTTCCCTTTCATTACTGAGTACATTTGGCTGACATTTTTTCTAACAGGGGAAAAAAAGCTGGCCCTGTTGCAAGCCACTGGGAAAATGCCTACAAGTGCCCCGAGTAGTCCAGACTTTTCTGTATAGAAGCTCCTATGTGCACAGCAACTGTTTATTCACAATTGTGTCCTGGGAAGAAGGTATCTGTATGCCTGTGTGATTGTTCATCTTTGGGACAAGCAATCCCCTATGAATATTCTTATTAAAAAGCTCTGGAGACAACCCTGCTGGCAAACAGAAATGTGACACACATTGGGACATATAACTGAGTGCAGAAGGACTAGCAGACAAGACAATGATTATCATTCTTTTTCATAACTTAAGTGCAAATCAACCTCTGAAAACAATTTAGAAAAACAAATTTTGTGTGCATGGCTTTTTATACTGGGCTCAAATTTTACCAAAAGCAAGAAGCGTACTCAGGTTAACATGATGACTTCATCGCCACATGATTAAATATCACCTGGGTGCCTGGAACATAGTTAGATGAGGCCGGCACATATTCATTTTGTTTGTATGCCTCTTTTTATTCCTGTGGACGGTCTAAATAAATAGATAGTTCATACAGGTTTATATCTCACACTTGTAAAATCTTAAGTTCCCCCTAGTCAGAGAGAAAAAATTCTTACGACATTAGTAAGTCCTCAAAATAATCACAAGTGCTGATTAAAGTAACTCTATTATCAATGTTTATTAAGCCCAAACTAAATCCCTCCTGCATAACATCTGCGGTAAGCTGCCTCCCTAGAGACAAGACGCACTCTACACACACCCACCTGAGCTGATGACACTGTTGGTGTCATCACAGAACAAGAACTGAACTGAAAATGATGCGACAATCTCTCCCCTTCTCCAGGAACCTTCTTTTACTAATGGGCTTTTGCTTTACCACTTGTGAAACTAGAAAAAATTGTAACTTTGGATTAAAATTATTTAATGTTGAATAAATTTTTAAGATTGAATTTCCACATGTTGGTTGCAGCAACCCTTATTCTTCTTTGGGTTAAGACCTCAGCCACCACGGCCCCCCATTTCTTGCTCTATCATCCTATAGGCAATTCTCTCAGTAGCAATGAGAGCTTAATTAATTGTTCCATACTGAAAAAGACACCCAGCAAAGCAGGAAACGGCAAGGAAGCTAATCAAAGGGTTTCAGAATCCATGAAGATGATTAATATTAATGATTTGTGAAGCAGAACTCATTGATAATATCATAGAAAGTAAGACAGAAAACAGATTGTCAAAAGTTTGTTTAATAAAATGGGGAAGTTTTTAATCCTTTTCGCTTTCTCAGATCCTTTGCTAAGTTTCCTTTTTAAATTTGTATGACCCTGCAAGGAATGCCACGTCCATGGCCATTTTCTTTGTTCCACTGCTTTAAGGACACCTTCAGTTCTTAAATTCTGCTTCCTTTACATAAACAGGAAAAGCCAAAATCTACAAAACTCCATTTTTGAGAAGCCTATGGCTCTACCTCAAACGCAGTTATTATTTCAAAGTAAATTATATTAATGTGTAATTTTTGCCCAAATACCATACTCTTTTATATAGTCTAACGTTTTAAATTTCAGTTATATTGACACATTAACAGCAGTATTTTTTAGATCACTGGCCACAAAATTATTTACTGAATACTTTTATACTACCCCGAATTACACTCTCATCTTGTTTTTTCCCTATAATCTCAAAATTATAGTAAGAATTATTATATCAGGTTGAAAACAGCATCTTGACATCCACGTTGTATTTGAGCTGAATAATCAGCTCAAAACTTTGTTAAGTATGGCTTATTTCATATGTCAAGTATCAGGAGTCAGTGAAAAAACCCACTAAAAACTATATATGTTCTGTTATATGTTAATAAAGGGGAATTTTTTATAAACATTTCCAAATCACATGGATTCATAATGCATTAACTAATCTCTGATTGAGGTGATAGAAGAAAATTAAATGCATATGTATCATATAAATCTAATGAAAAAGCATGCCAGAGTGTTTTCTTTCTTTTGGTTTTTTTTGTTTGTTTGGACATAATAATTTATTAAAACATATTTACAAATGAAGCTCAGAGTTTTTTAAAAATTGCCTTAGGACTCTGTGAGATTACAGCCAAGAGCCTAGAGCCGAGAGGAAGAAAGCGCACCTTACAATAAACCAAACCTGGATTCGGGTCTCAGATTTGTCCCTTTTTTCCTGTGAAACCTTGGACGAGCTAACTAACGTCTCTGAGCCCCTGCTGCCTCACCCCGCTACTGTGTACAGTGACCGCTATTTCCCCAGTGGTTTTGAGCAAAGACCCGCAAGAGCCCAGGTCTTCTCAGGGACAGACATCCCCTCTGGAGGTCTGGGTGCTGACTCCGCTTCCTCTCCTGAACGAGGATGCTGAGTTTGTTCAAGAATGAGGAGCACTCACCAGAAGCGTTCCCTCGTTTGGGACCTCAGAAACGATTAGTGAAAATTTCTTCGGGATAATGACATGAGTCCCAGTGGAAGAGGTACAGCAAGGACGCTAACTCTCTCAACTCTGGGAGGTTACTTACTACCTGCCCTACCTGCCTCAGGGAACCAGGGCCCAGGAAAGGCAGCACTGTATCTTGCCCGCTCCATGTGCCAGACTCTCAACTTCTTGACACTTGGCAAGACCACTCAGGGACACAGTGCAGGGGTATGTCTGAGTGAGTGTGTGTGTTTGGAGGGAAAGGGAAGCTTTTCCCACCCATCCCTGACTCCTGCACAATGTTGCAGTGTCTAAGCATTCCAACATATTGTAAATATTAAATGTCATTCCAACCTTCCCCGAGCTCACCTTCATAATAGATCTCATACACATAAAACACTTATTTCCATGCCTTACTGATTCACTAAGGGATTCTTCCTCTGTTTCCCATACCCCTTATATTTAAAGATGGGACTCTGCTATCAGAACTATGTTCCAGAGGTGTCAGAATCTAATCTGTGAATGGCTAATGGTCCAAACTAGAGCATATACCAGTAATTTTATATATCCTGCCAAGGCTACTCTCCACTAGAGCAGATAATTTTTAAGACATACTATACACATATACAATTAATCACTGCTGTTGGGTATTACTTTTTCAGTAAGTTTTCCCTCCACGGGTATCAGAGACATGGTAGAGTGTAGCGCCCT